CTGTTTCAGTGCAGTATACATTATTGAACCCATCTTACTCAGTCTCTCCCCAACCCCAAGGTCCGTCCCATTCTACCACAGTGGCACCATGCAATATTTGTCCTTCTGTGACTGGGATATTTCACTCAGCATAATGTTCTCCAGAGTCAACCATTTTGAATAATATTGCATGAGTTCCTTGTTTTTCAGTGCAGCATGGTATTCCATTATGCAAATATACCACAGCTTCTCTAGCCATTCGTTTGTTGATGGGCACTTAGGTTGTTTCCAACTTCTTGCTATTGTGAACAAAGCTGCAATAAACATGGGTGTGCAAGAGATTTTTTAAAATATATCAGTTCTGCTCAATCTTCTCCATTGTCTTTGCTAAGTCCACTTTAAATCTTATTTAAAGACTTTATACCTGGGTATGTTTGTTTCTTGAAGTGCCCCTTAGATCCACTGAAAACATGTGTTTGCCCACAGGCATCTGTTTCCCCCACCTACTCCAATATTTGCCGGAGGAGCGAATGATCGATGGGTACGCTCTGTATCTTTTAGTCATGACGGACTGCATATTGCAAGCCTTGCTGATGACAAGTGAGTGTGTGAATTACGTCATTACACTTAAAATTTTTCAAAGGATTTGCTTTAACATTTCTAATAGAGAGGGTAAGGAGAGAAACTCCAACCAAAATCTTTTCAGCTAGCCTTTGCAGTTTGAGGTTTTAATGTCTTTCTTTAGATAAGGACCTGAGATGTTGATATGTCTTAGTAATTGCTTACACAGATTGAAGCAGAAGGACATTTCCATAGTGAAATGTACTACTTAAGGATAAGAAGCAGAGAGTAGTTGTAGCTTTTCCATTCTTTATCATAAAACATGTATGAATATGTTATGTGCCTTCGAGTCACCTGCAACTCATAGAGACCCTATGTACAAAAGCCCTAAACCCTACTCTCTCCTGTGCCAATACCCGCATTTCCCTAGTCCATCTCGTCAAGGATCTTCCTCTCCTGCATTGTCCTTCCACCCTCTCAAGCATGACGTCCCTCTCCAAGGACTGATCCCGCCTTGTAGCATGTCCAAAGTATGTCAGACAAAGCTTCAGAATCCTTGCCTCCAAGGAGCAGCTTGGCTTCACCCTCTCCAGGACGAACTTATTTGTTCTCTTAGCATTCAATATTCTTCTCCAGCACCACAGCTCAAAGGCATCAATTGTCTGTCATCCCTAGTCATTTTTTTGATGCTTTCCGATGCGTAACAACAATTGCAAAGACCATGACCTGTATCAGGTGCACTTTACTCTCCCAACTAACATTGTTGCTCTTTACATTGGAGAGGTCTCTAACAGCAGGCTTTCTCAATACAATTCTTTTAATTTAATTTATCTTTTAAGTTGGGAACAGAGAAGAAGGATTAGTAGTTGGAAAACATGTACTCGGTGACAGAAATGAAGCTGGAGATAGAATTTTGCACAATCAATTGTTTATATTTATTCATTGCAAATTTTATAAGAAACAAATGCAGGCTATACATTTGAATTTCACCTCATGGTATGCATAGGAATCAGATCGATTACATCTGTGGAAAGACTCGCTGGAGAAGCTCAGTATCACCTGTGAATACTAGGCCAGGTGCCGATTGTGGAACAGACCACCAACTACTCATATGCAAGTTCAGGCTAGAGCTGAGGAAAATAAGGAGTTGAACAGAAGATTGCAGAGGGTAGTGCAAGAAGACGAAAGTATTACAGTGAAATGTGCAAGGAGCTGAGGTCAGAAAATCAAAAGCATTTCTTAAGTTGAAGGAACTGAAGAACAAATTCAAGCCTTGAGTTGGAATATTTAAGGATGCTTTGGGTAGAATATTAGATGAACCAGAAAGCATTAAAAGATGGAAAGAATATACAGAGTCCATTGTACCAGAAGGAATTGGTGGGCACAGAATTTCATGAAACAACATATGGGCAAGAGCCTGTGGTGATGAAGGAAGACGTTCAAGCTGCTCTCAAAGAATTGGCAAAAAACAAGGCCCCAAGAATTGATGGCATACCAATTGATATATTTCAACAAAAAGACACTGCCCTGGATGTATGAAAATAGAATTAAAAATTTTGATTCAATAACTTGAAAAACCCCATTTATTAACATCTTTGTGTAATGTTAGCTAGCATATAAGGGGAGATCTGTTTTTATTTGCCACCAACCATTATTTCCCAATGTGCTCACATAAATTCTGAACATCATAAATTTTTATGTTAAATATCTCTTGATATCTCTGGAAGTGTTTGTTTACTCTCATCCATGGAAAGGCACACTGTAAAATAAGAAACATTTGATTGACTGTACATAACTGTTCCAACGTAACATACACATTCAACAACTTAGACTTAGGAACAGAACTTGTTTGTAATTGGGGATTGCCTACATGATAAGGAGGAAGTCTCCATTTATTGTCAGTTATTTGGATCATCTCTTGCGTGAGTTGATCCAAATTATCAGCTGGTGAATAGGCATAATATGTATTATGAAACAATAGTATTTGCCTCCTTTGTGTGTGTGTGTGTGTGTGTGTGTGTAGTGACTCAGAACATAGTGATATCTTTTCTATATTTAAAAGGTTTCTTTTATCTGAAATACACTAACTGGATGCTGCTTTTCCTTTCCAGACTGGTGAGGTTCTGGAGAATTGATGAGGACTATCCAGTACAAATTGGATCTCTGAGCAATGGTCTTTGCTGTGCTTTTTCTACTGATGGCAGTGTTTTAGCTGCTGGGTAAATACACTTTTCTGTTTCCTTTAGAAGGACGTTTTAAGGTGGTTTTAGTCAGAATTGTCAGTGCTTTGCTGTGAGTAAGCCTCCCATAAGCACTCTTTATAATGCTTTTACTTTGTGATAGAATAGTTCCTTGGCTTGTTTTTATGTGCTATTATGTGCTGTTGAGTTGCTTGCGACTCATAGTGACCCTTTGTACAATAGCTCTGAACTCAGTCTTATCCTGAGCCCATCTCACTATTTCCAACACACCTGCCCTTACTACCCCAGTCACTGTCAGTCCACCTCATCTAGGGCCTTCCTCTCCTGCATTATCCCTGCACCCTTCCAAGCATGATGTCCTTCTTCAAGGACTGGTCCCTCCTGGCAACATGTTTAAGTCTCCTTAATTAGATTTTAATAAGAAATTTGTGAATCTGATATACATGTTGGATGGTAGCTCAAGCTATAAACCAACCAAAAAACCCATTGTTCAATACTGTGGGATGGAGGAGAGCTTTTGACCCACAGGGATTTTAGGGCTGTAATCTTTGTGGAAGCAGACTTCTACGTCTGTCTCTCGCAAGAGGTAAATTCAAACTGCTGACCTTTTAAGGGTAGCAGCCAAGCCCCTATGGCTCCTAAGGGATGTTGAAATATATGTGTAGGTGACTGTGATTTTATTTTTTTGTTATCATTTAGGACACAGGATGGAAGTGTGTATTTTTGGGCCACTCCAAGGCATGTTCCTAGCCTTCAACATTTATGTCGTATGGTGATCCGGAGAGTAATGCCCACCCAAGAAGTTCAGAAGTTGCCGATTCCTTCCAAAGTTCGGGAGTTTCTCTCCTATTGTGATTAGAAGACTTTGCCTTTTCTATTGGGAGGAACAAACAAAATACACTTTACACAAACCTCAAGCTTTACTGGCTTCAAGTATCTGTTTTTTAAATGCCTGAGTCATTATTTGATGTTTGTGTACTGCATTATTTTATTTATAGACCACAGGAGAAAGATTTCTGAGAAGATCAAATTGTATAATTTTTTTTTTAAAGTAACTGTGAAAACATGTATATATTCAGGTATAAGCTGCTATGTGTTGAATGAACTCTTGCTATTGCTTTTTAGTGTCTGACATGTATATATTACTTTAGTAAAATTACAATTATGTATCTGCTGTGAAGTGGAATTTTTTTATTTTGGGATACCAACTTGGATGATAATTACAAGTAAGTTGAATTGCCTCATACTAAAAGGTATTTGGCTGAGGTATTAACAGTTGACTGACTTGTAAAACACAGCTTTTGTGTAGGAAAATAATTTTTGTTTTCCTTAGGAATGGCATCTGAGAGGTGGGGTTTGAAGGTGACAATGTTAAACATAGAATAGAGCCAGGATATAACTAATAAAAAGGGTATAAAGAGGTTTTGGTTTTTTTTTTTCTTTTAACACTGCTGCAGCCTTAATTTTGGGACCCAACCTGCGGTTTATAACCCCTCTAGTTTAAAGTATTATGCATTTTACTCATTTTGTAAAGTCCATTTAATGTACTCTTGGTAAATATTTTGTTTATAATAAGGGACATGTATTTTCAAAACCATCAGAGTTGGGTTATTTGTTTATTGGGGGAATTTAATCCGTATCCTGTTTCTGCAGGGAATGATACTGGTGATTTGCCAAAGAGAACCAATACAGTATATCTGCTTTTGCCTTCTGTTATTTATCTAACCTGCAGATACTAAGAAAGTATGATTTTTGTAAAATGCTTGAATTATATATTTTTGTTGACTTTTTTAATTAAAGACTTGTTTTTGAAAAAGCTGTTTTATGTGAATGTTACTTGAAATGGGAGGAAGATTAATAATTTTTGTCTGTATCCGTTGTATGGAAGGGAGTTCTGGTGGCTGTTAGGTGCTGTTCAGTCAGTTATCACAGTGACTCTGATCTGAACCCTGTCCTATCCTGTGCCACCCTTAGGCATATTACTGCAGGGTCAATCAACATGCTTGAGGGTCTTCCTCTCATAGTCCTTCCATATTTCTAAGTATGATGTCCTTTTCCAAGGAATAGCCTCTCCTAATAGCAACCCCACAGTATGTGAGACAAAGTTTTGCCATCCTTGCTTCCAAGGAACATTCTGGTTCCCCTCTTCCCAAGACATCATCTGTTCTTTTGGCAGTCCGTGGGATATTCGGTACTTTTCTCCAACATCACAATTCAAAAGCATAAAGTCTTTTGTTCTTACTCATTCATTGTTCAGATCCATTGCAAGTGATTGAAAGACCGTTGTCTAAATCAGCCATACCTTAATCATTAAACGAACATTGCTCCTCAGTAATTTGGAGAGGTCCTTGACTGCTGGTACCACAAATGTATTGATTATGATCCAAGTAAAATGAAGTTTTTTGATCTATAATGTTGCCTACTGATCCGTAGTGAGAATGTATGTGTGTAGGGTTGAATGAGATTTTATTTGGCACAGGAGGAGATTGCCCTTGAGGAGCATCTGGTGTGTTTGAACAGTGTGTCCTTGGGATTGCATTGCAGTTTCTTGCCACTAGATCACCAGAGGTCCCTAGAATTTTTTCCCCCTTACATTGAGTTTAAATTGAAGGCTGCAATCTCAGTCTGCAGCAAGTTCTCACTTTAAGGAAGCAAGGTTGTGTCATCTGCATACTGAAGGTTACTGTTTCGTAGCATGCAGCTTGAATAGGTATGGAGAAAGGATACAAGCCTGATGCACACCTATTCCAATTGTAAACCTTGAGTGTTTTCTTGTACTGTTCATACAACTTCTTGGTCTAGCTATAGATTTTGGCATAAGCACAATTAAAATGTGTTCTGGGATTCCCTTCTCAATGTTAGCCTTGAATTGTTAAAATCCACAGTCAAATGCCTTTGCGTAGTCAATAAAACTAATAGATGATTCTTCTGATATTCTTTGCTGGTGGCTTAGAGGTAAGAAATTGTGGTGCCAACTCAATAGTTTGTCGTTTGAATCCACCAAGCTGTTCTACAGAAGAAAGATGGACAATCTCCTGTGTAATTTACTGCCTCTAAAACCCTGGAGGGTCAGCTAAAAGCCACAGTATGGTACAGACAGAACATCACAAATCAAGCAAGGAAGGTAATCAGGGCAAACTAGAACAAATGCCATTTCATGACTACACCATCTAGAATAGTTGGAATGATGTTAATTTTAGAAGAGTAGAAAAGTTAGAACAAAGGAAAAAGCTATCAAGAGGAAAATAACGGTCTTTAAGGGGAATTAGAATGCTAGTAAAAGAATCTGTCTTCAAGGAAGTACAAGCAGGGTGCTCCTTAGGGACAAGGGTGGTGAAATGCTGTCTCCATTGTTTGACCATGTCAGGAGGTGCGACTCCTTGGAAAAAGACAGCATGCTGGTAACAGTGGGGGATCCAGGAAAGAAGAAAATGATAGGGACTGGCACAGACAACAAGGTGAACATGGCACAGGACAAGGCAAGGTTCAAATCTGTTGTTAATGGAGCTAGTTGGCTCAGTGGCAAAAAACAGGAAGAATATTAATAAGATGATTTAGCACCTTTCTACTAAGTACAAATAACCCTGTACAACTGGGTTAAACTAGATTCTAGCTTCCAAAGAACCCCTCAAACTCCTTTGAATCACACCAGTCCACAGTTGTCCTTCCAGCATGTTTTTTTTTTAGAGACTGTAAACCACACAGAAGATTGCCATTTCTTCCATGAAGTGGCTGGTGGGTTCAAACTCCATACCTTTGGAAAGGAAGCTGGCAGTGCTCCTTATCCAGTAGGTCACAAGAGTCAAAGATTCTGGCTTTGCTGTGAAATTTTAAAACAACTGCTATTTTCTTTTCTCTTTGTTCCAAACAACATTACAACAATCTATTTGGTGAACTGACAGGATATTGTTTGTTCAAATTTGAGTTTCAGTTTTGAACATTCCACAAGGATGCCTCTTGCACTTAATGATCAAACTGCCTTTTCACAGAAGTGAGATGAATTTAAGATCTATAACTTGTTTTTTTAAAATTATTTTCATGAACATTTACAGAGAATTTGGATTTCCATTCATTCATTGCTGCACTTCTCTACCCGCCCAGCCCTCC